AGAGAAGTCCCTTCCCATCAGTTCCTGTCTGAATGACTCAGGATAAACTGAGGACATCACCCATAGGCTAATGATCCCATCTCGGAGTTGGTGACTGCAAGGGGGTAGCCCAGCACTGTCCCCCACCAGCTTTCCTCTGGCGAGCACTTCCTCTTCCCACTCCCCATACATGGCTGGGCAGGAAGCTAAGTTCTGTGTGTTCCCAGCCCTCTATCACAGCTGACCAAATTAAAAGTGACCACCAGATCCAAGATGGGCCAACAAATCCTTTTCTGGAATCCTTCAGGCTTGAAACCAAGGGAGTGTCAAGCCCAGGGATACTGGGGGGGCTGTGTGTCCTACCAAGCAGGTGGAGAGAGAGGAGTGAAAGCAGATATACAGAAGACTTGGGGAAGAGCCGCTGGCATGGAGCCCCAGAGTTGGGTGTTCTAGAAGAGCAGCAGCACCTCTCACGGGTTCCCTGATGCCACTCAGGAGCCTCGAGAGCAAATCCCCTTTGGGCTCAACGTGGTTCAAGCTGGGTCTCCATTAAGAAGAACCAAGTCCTAACCAAGCCAGTGGCTACTGAAAAAGCATCCAATTTTTATCTACAAACTGGGGAAGACAAAAGGGGGCAAAGGGAAGAAACTAACACAGATGAGGCAATAGACCGATCTTTATCTCCAATCTCAGGTCGGCTACTTGGGAGCTGTCTGGTCTTAGGTCACGTAGAGAATGTCTCTCCGGGACTCAATTTCCTCATTGTAAAACGGGAATCGGGACACGATCTCAGAGTCAGTTTGACAATGAAAGATGCCGCCTGGAAAGCTCCTAGCACTCAGCAAGCACCCAAAACACGATGGCTGCTTTTATGTTCCTATGAGGCATTTTACCACTAGCCAAGCTCTGTGGAAAGCTCTCTGCAGACATCTCGCAGGACCCACAACACAATGACAAGGGCAACACACGGCCCACGGAGGAGCCCAAGGGTCCCTGAACTGAAGGGACCTTTCTGAGGTCACTCCGCCAGAGCTGGGTCTCTTTGACCTTGCCTTTCTTGTCTTTCCACGAATTTCCTCATGCTGTCCTCCTAAGTACCAGAAAGAGCCGGTCCACACCTGTTGGCCGGCCTGTCTTTCCAAACCCTCCCTAAGGTTCCACTCCAACGTGGGAAGAGGAGGAGAGGAGGTGTATTCTTCATTTATGGAGTCTGGGCCAGGCAGGCTTTGTTAGAAACTCCAGCACATCCCGTGTGTTCCCGCCATGAGACCCTCCATTACATGGACGCCAGAGGAACCAAAGCTAGTAAAGTCGACCTTCAAACTTCTTCCCCATCCCATAAGATGCTTAATAAACACTTTGAACTGAAGGGTTAAGATGTCCAGAGCATAAATACAGATTCCTGTACTTTGGGGATGGTTTAAAAACGACCCCTTACTTTCAGTAGCAAGCTCTTCAGAAATGGCAATTTTATTCTATTTTAATTTCCCAGCACTTCAACTGTCACAGGCAACCGAGTATGCCTTTCAAAGCTGCAAAGAGAATCTCCCCAAACTAGAATCTCAAAAGATCTTAAATAACACAGAAGCTGAAAATAGTGGAAGAGTAAGGAGGCCGTAATAGTCTCTTGACATGAAGTGAAAAAGAAAGGCCCAGAAAGCCGAGAGATTGGTTCCGCGCCTGGTATGATGCAGGGCCTGGCCCGGTGCCCTGGCTGGCTGTGTCCCTGTGGGGGACTCCCTCTCACCCCAACTCTGCCTCCCCAGCTGATCCTACCGTCTGCCCTGCCTCCTGCAGAATCGAAAAGATTATAAGGAGGGGATCATAAATCATTCTTCTCTCATGAGTTTATAGTGTTCCCTTCTGAGGAGTTCAAAAGAATTCAGTAATAAACTAAGGTGATGAGTTTATGTCTTTTACTTTTAAAATGAAACTTTTATTTGAACTCCTGGAGACGCATTTACAGTTTTTTAATTTAGGACATTCCTCTCTTGTTTCAACATTTCGCCCCATGGCATTTTCTGTGGGCGGGGAGGTGACAGAGCATGGTGGGTGGGGGAGGGAGAGGGGTCTGTGTCTGGCCCTGCCCCCACCCCATTCCCCCACAGGCTTTTCCGAAGGCCTGACAGAGTCCTCCCTTCGAGGGTTTTCAGCAAGTCTCAACATCTATATGGAGCAGTCCCTCCTCCCGCCCCCACGGTGACTTGGCCGCAGTTTCTTCCTTTTGTGCTTCTCTCCACTGCCCACCACCTTCTTGCCATAGCCACCGAGAGCAAAGATATGAGAGAAAAGCATGCTATCTGCAGGAGACAGGGCTGCCCACATGGCTCACTTTGCTTTTCTTTACCCTAGTCTCTCAAAAAAAAAAAAAAAAAAAAAAAAAAAAAGGACTCAAGAAAAAGGGGGGGAAAGCACAGTTAGCAAATTTAATAAAATCAAAGTTGAGGGGTGCCTGGGTGGCTCAGTGGATTAAAGCCTCTGCCTTCAGCTCAGGTCATGATCCCAGGGTCCTGGGATCGAGCCCCGCATCGGGCTCTCTGCTCAGCAGGGAGCCTGCTTCCCCCTCTCTCTCTGCCTGCCTCTCTGCCTACTTGTGATCTCTGTCAAATAAATAAATAAAATCTTAAAAAAAAAATCAAAGCTGAGAACAGTTACACTTTAGAATGAGAAAGAGAAAGGAAGAAGGAAGGAAGGAAGGGAGAAAGGAAAAAAGGAAGGGGGGAGAGAGAGAGAGAGATGCATGAGTCACCACACCTCCTGTACAGACCCAGGCTCTAAACAAATGTGGAACTATCTTGCTTTGTCTGGCCCAAGCATTTTTGCTAATGATTTTTTTCAAGTATGAAGCCAAATTTTAGTAACTAACCACAGGTAAATACCGCCTGGCCACGACAGAGCCTTTCCAAATAGAAACGTGGTGGAGGGAGAGGGCTGTTCTTGCAAGCAGGTAGAACCACACGCTTAGCTTCTGCATTCAATAAATACTTGGTGAATGAATAAACCCAAGAAGTACTTAATGATTCAAGATATGTCTAGGGTTTTTATACCACCTGGATTTGCAGGCTGGCAGGCCAAACCATACAGAACTCTTCAAGTAAAACCACTCCATGGTTGTTCCAGGTGGAGGAAGAAACAATCGGGTTCTCTGAGTGTCCTCAACACCACTAAGCCATCGAAGAACAATGGGGCGACCCTGGGAGCCCTGTTCCAACCCGCTTACAGACACAACAGATGCAGAGGCGGAACTCCACTGGGCGGGGGGCAAAGCAAATTCAGCCAAGTTGCTGAGCCTCGCATAACAGCAACTTAAGCAGAGGAGAAAATATTATACAAGGAGTGTACTACCCACAAGGAAAGCAGTGTTCCTAACCTTTGGATGTAGCTGGCATTTCTCCTAGGAAAACACTAAAGTATTCTCAAAGGGGTCGCTGCTCTCCTAGCATCATAAGCAGGTCTGGCCGACTAAACGATGAAGTATCAGGACCTGGGTCACCTAAAACACCTTGATTTGACTTCATGAACTGTAAACCAAACAGGTAATAATTCCTGGGTTGTTTTTTTTCCCCCTTGCCTAGAAAAGAGCAGGAGAACTTGACAAGCACTCAGAAGCTTCAGAAGACAAGTGGGACATGAAAACCACAGATTAGGGAGCGCCTGGGTGGCTCAGTCGTTAAGCGTCTGCCTTCAGCTTGGGTCATGATCCCAGGGTCCCAGCATTGGGCTCCCTGCTCGGCAGGAAGGCCGCTTCTCCCTCTCCCACTCCCCCTGCTTGTGTTCTCTCTCTCGCTGTGTCTCTCTGTCAAATAAACAAAATCTTTAAAAAAAAAAAAAAAATCATAGATTAGACCCGTAACAGTCTCCTGGACCAAAAGTCTTTCAGGAGACTCACTGGGACTTCTTCAAGTCTGAGAAAGACTCCCTGGTAAGCATCCTGCATCAAAGCCACCTCTGTTTTCCCCAGCTGTCTCTCCATGGTACCTAGGCAGCAGCTTCTGAGATTATAAAAAAATATATACATATATCCAGGCAATAACACTATCCTTAGGAGATACCACGTTTTCTCCCAACTAAAATCTTAATACCTTTCTCCAAACCTTTCCCTTTAACAAAATGATCCAGTTTAAAACAGACTGTCACCTGTCATATTTTAAGATCATTGATGGATAGTTTCCCAAAATAAATTTATTTCTATCTTAACACTGCAGCCACAGATAATGCTGACCCCTCTTTGGCTCACGAGTCTTTTTTAGTACTTCTAAATAGGATGACAGCAGCCAGCAGCAGCACACATTTTTTGAGAGCTCGCTCTGCTGGCTGTTAGCATCTCCTCTCACCTCCTAACCATCCTATGAGGTAAGTTCTAATATAGGACCATAATTGCTGTCTACCATTCTGAAACCAAAAAAGCTCTAAAACCCAGAAGTTTTTCCATAACTTACTTGGCAGCAAAACTCAATGGACCTGAACTCATTTAGAGGCAAAGTTAGTTCAGGAACTAGCAGGAGGCTATCTAGCTTTTAGTCATCCCACTTAATGTGAATATCCATATACTTCGCTATACAAGTGTGAGTGTGTTTAGTTACTGAGAAGGGCCCTAGACCTCCTGGGGGGGGTCACTTAATATAAAACAGGTACAGCCTTAATATCTTTCTAAACTCCCCAAATCTCAGCTTTCTGAAAGCTCTGTCCCCAAGGGTGGAAGGTACTGTGCAACTCTATCATCAACCCATTTCACAGGTAAGAAATTGAGACTCCATGAGGGGAAGTGACTTGCCTAGAGTCACAGAGTGCCAAGAGGGGGAGCCGACTCTGAGGCCAGCAGGCTCTCCCAGAGTCCAGGGTTGGGAGCACCACGGTGGGGCCACCACAAGACATGTCTCCATCCTCATCCCACACGATTAAGCTGGGAAGGAGTGCTGTGCTGTGCCTGCGTGGCTCACCAGCTAGGTGAGGAACTGATGAAATGGGAACACAGAGAACACCAGTTGGAAGCAGATCAATTCAGAGGGCCTGGCACTTACCTTGCCCAGGACAGTGAGGCATGGTTTCGGGTCCAATTCTGGCTGTTCCAGCTTCACCACGCCTACCCAGCCGTATTCATACAAGTCCTCTTCATCGTTGTTATTACACAGGCCCAGTGGGTGCATCTAGGAGGCAGACAGAAAGAAAGCTTCAACACACAGGCTTCAGAGGTTCTAGACCCACCCTATAAGTGTGTCTTAGCCTCAGTAGTGAAAAGTAATCTCAAAACTTGAAATTAGGAATGCCTGGGTGGCTCAGTCGGTTGAGCATCTACCTTCGACTCAGGTCATGATCCCAGGGTCCTGGGATCAAGCCCCGAATCGGGCTCTCTGCTCAGTGGGGAGCCCGCTTCTCCCTCTGCCTGCCATTCCCCCAGCTTGTGCGCTCTCACTCTGATAAATGAATAAAATCTTTAAAAAAAAAACTTAAAATTAAATGGGGGGGTGGATTTTACAAATGTTTTCTCACTGCCTTTTTTAAAAAAAGTTTATTTAATTATTAAGTAATCTCTACACCAAACATGGGGCACAAACCCATGACCCTGAGATCAAGGGGCGCACACTCCTCTGACAGAGCCGGCTGAGCTCCCCACTTTCTCACTGCCTTCTAAGTGGTGGTCACCCAAGGGGGACACCAGCCAATAGGATGCAGGGCAAGAAAAACTGCCTAACTCCCATATAAATGCCTATCTAAATTCCCGTGAAATACCATAATATTTAATAGCAATCACAGATGAAACTAGCTAGGTTAGTTATCCTAGGGATTTGCCTTCTAAACCTTAACAACACATGTATGGCAAGTTATGCAGGAGGACCTGAAAACACATTCAGGAATTTATGGAAAGACCACCGGACATAGGACAGAATCACCAGTGAAATTAACAAGCTGTTCAAAAGGTCACCCCTGGCTACTGGGGAACAGGTGAAATTCTTTGAGGATTTTTTCGAAATGGGCAAAGCAGAAAATCAAAACAGGGGAAGAAGAGCATCATCAAATGTTTGCCAGTGAAAGCGCAGTCAGCAGAAGCCCAAGACCAATCCTAAAGTCTGCGCTCACAGTTCTATGGTTGAGTCTTATCAGGCCCTGGGATCCCCAGCAACAATCCGAGAAGAGGAAATCCTCACAGATAAACTAACTTATCAAGAAATTAATGAGTCTAACACAGTGCTGAACTCTTTACATGACTGGAAGAAATGCGTGGAGACACAAGAGACCTAAGAACCCGTTGTGGTTGATGGAAAATATCCTCCAAGGCTGGCCTCCATAAGCTAGAGAAGAGAAGAAACAGGTCCTCCCTAGAGCCTCCAGGAGGAACGTCACCTACAGATCCATTTTTAACTTCTGACCTCCAGAACGCTAAGAGAATAAATCTGGGAGGCTTTAAGCCACTGAGTTTACTATATCTTTTTTTTTTAAAAGATTTTATTAATTTACCTGACAGAGAGAGATCACAAGCAGGCAGAGAGGCCAGCAGAGAGAGAGGGGGAAGCCGCTCCCCGCCGAGCAGACAGCCCGATGTGGAGCTTGATCCCAGGGGCCCGAGACTACGACTCTAGCCGAAGGAAGAGGTATAACCCACTGAGCCACCCAGGCACCCTACTATAACTTCATTGAGCAGCAAACACAAAACTAAAGCACTCTCCTTCTTCCCCACTCATTTTATAGATGAGAACTGAAGTTCAAGAGAACTAGCTTTTCCAAGACAACAGAGCCAACGAGTGGCCGCACCCACAGGTAACCTGGCCCTTGTGTTCACAGTCTAGTGCCTTCCCACTCCACTTGCTTAACTTTACCATATTTCCTCCAAGATCCAGTCATCTGACTGGGAGGGAAAGACCAAGTGATTAAATCTTTAGGAAAAGATGTTGCCAGCTCTAAATTCTGTGGTCCTAGAGTTGCAATGCAAATGTGGTGTGGGCAGCAAGAGTGCTGGCAGGTTCAGGGAAGCCTGCACAAGTGCTGAGCTGTGAGATGAGCTTTGAGGAAGAGTCACGTTGGTCTTGGGAAAAGAAGAGAGAGCAGGCAGTGGTTCCAAGCATGGGGAGCAGGAGCTAAAGGCTGGAGAGGGAAGAGGAACAAGACCAGTCTGGTAAGTGTGAAGGACCACGGTCTACATCGAGAGGGAGAGACACAGGCTAAAACTAGAAAGGTGTTTGGACACTAAGACAATACCACGAGTTCTTGGGCGGAAGAGTGTCCCACTGAAAACAGTTCCTTGAGGGAGATGGACTGCACAGCTCCTGGTGGTGGCGTGCCCAGCCTTGAGAGGCATCGAGTGGAGGGGCGAGGAAGGGTGCAGCCCAGAGATCAGAGAATCCTGGGAATTCAATGGACAAACAGAAGGGGATTGCACAAATCCGTGAGGCACATGGGCACAGGGTGCTACAAGGGGGCGGCCAGCAGCTCTCTCCAGTGGGTGAGGAATAACCCATCCCCTGCGGATTCCAGTGCGTGAGACTGAGAACCCTGGGACATCCAATGTTTGCCTGAGTCCTTAGGCTTGATGATCGTGCCTAAAGGACAAATGGAAGATTCTGCCCCTCAAGAACCCAGGCCACTCTAACATATTTGGTGGTTTATTAAATGACGAGTGGCCTGAAATGCAGACCTCTGATTGGAGAGGACACGGGAGAGGGTGATAAGCCAATTGCGCCAACAGGCCATTACTTCCACCACCCGGAAGGGGCTTCCTGCCCAGCTCAGGTTGGTTTCCTGAAACTCCAGGCATGGCCATGGCCATAGCCATGGCAACCATACCACTGACCGTTTTCCGCAGTATTTGTTCCGTGGTATTTTTAACCTGGCTACATGACTTAGAGGTTTCCAGGTGGAGAGCTGCTTTTTGTTACTTACACATGAATGAGGTTTGGCCAATGGAGGAGAGCTACACTGGGGGAGCTCAAGTATGGAGCAGGTCTAAGACCTTGGATCTGTGGTTCCACTGACAGGAGATCGTCCAGAATAGGCAAATCCGTGGGAATAAGGCAGATTTGTGGTTGCTGGGGAGTGACTGCTCAATGGGTCCCGGGTTTCCTTTCAGGGTAACGAAAATGTTCTGGAATCAGAGGATGGTAATGGATGCACATTGTGATTATACTAAATTCCTCTGAATTGTGTACCTTAAAATGATTTAAATGGATAGGGTGCCTGGGTGGGCTCAGTAGGTTGGGCCTCTGTGTTCAGCTCAGGTCATGCATGATCTCAGGGTCCTGGGATCGAGCCCTGCGTCAGGCTCTCTGCTTGGCGGGGAGCCTGTATCTGCCTACCTCTCTGCCTACTTGTAATCTCTCTCTCTGTCAAATAAAATCTTTTAAAAAAATGATTTAAGGGATGCCTGAGTGGCTCAGTGGGTTAAGCCGCTGCCTTCGGCTCAGGTCATGATCCTAGGTCCTGGGATCAAGTCCCACATCGGGCTCCTTGCTTGGTGGGGAGCCTGCTTCTCTCTCTGCCTCTGCCTGCCACTCTGCCTGTTTGTGCGCTCTCTCTCTCTCTCTGACAAAAAAATAAATTTTAAAAAATGATTTAAATGGTGAACTTTATATAAACTTTTCCAACAGTAAAAAAGTTCTAAAAAAATGCCCCAAGCGCTTACTCAGATACAACTGCACTCAGCTAACGTGGGGCTCCACAGTTGAGGACCATGTGGTCCCCTTCCCACCCTCCTAGAGCCTCAACCAATTACAGCCACCCTTCTGGAAACCGTGTCCTGCAGGACACTAGCTCTGAGAGATTACCAACACGTTCTTGGACAAGTAACTAACACTGAGGAACACTCCTTAGGGATTCAGGATTTGATTTCGGAAATTAGAGCTCTGTAGAAGGTGTAAGGTCTAAAAAAACAAAAGGTTTTCAAACTTTGCAAACACCAGCATTTCCAACCCTTTGATGATAAGCCTGTTGTGTATACTCTGATTGCGCTGTTTCACGGGGATACATTTAGGGTGCAGGGTACAGAGGAAAGAATGGAGGGACAGTCACAGGCAGCTGGAGAGAAGGGGTGTCCTGGGAGGGCAGGTGGGATGCAGGAAGAGGGAGGGAACGGAGAACCGCAGGAGAAGGAGATGCCCAAGCCTGGCCCTTCGCAGCCCTGGTGAGAGGAAGCAGCCACGACCAGACTGGGGGTTTAGACTGTGAAGGAACCACGTGCCAGGAGAGGCATGTCAAGAGTGCGTCCGCAGGCATGCAGAAATCTGAACTATGTAAGCCTCAAACACACCCGCTGGTCCGGGTCTTCGGAGGCGGTCAGGCCCTGCGCCCCGGGGCCACACATCGTGCCAGGCGCTCTCTGCCTCCTCTGTGGACACACCCTCCTGTTCTCCTCTAAGAAGCCCCAATCAAATCTTCCACTGACACTGCAGGGACTCTTAGCTCCAAATGGCAGCCACTGTCAAGGGTGTTGACTTCTGAACGTGGATCAAAGACTCAAAAACCAAAAGGAATTTTTCTGAAGTGCCAGCGGGTGCAATCTGTTGGCGTGGCTTGTTTATTTCCCTGTGGAGGGTAAAGAGGCCATCAAAATCACATCTCAGAGGGCTGAAGGCCTCCCTCACTATCTCGGCCGTCTTCCCACCCCCACCCTCTGTGCTTTCCCTCCGAGGTCTTTACTTCAGGTGCCCAACTGCTGGTCCTATGAACTCAACCTCAGCGACATCTATAAAACTGGCCTCCTCAAACCATCTGCTAAATACTGTTATGATTGGGGTCTCTGTCAGCCCACCCCTGATGACAGTATCAGCTTCTAGAAATGTCCCACCCCAGGCCTCCAACCATTTATACCCTAGGGTCCTCTTTTCCCAAGGGCTCGAACTTAGGAGCTCAGCAGAATGTTTTCTAGGGAAGCACAAGCAGCGGTAACATGAAAATACTTCTCTGTGAACTGACCCGTCTCTAAGGATGGAATATTCTAGGCAAAGGCATAAAATGCAAACAAATATGCCATGTCTAAGGGTAGCAAAGGAGAGGGTTTTCTCATAATTAAGTATTTATTAGACTATTATGTTTATATATTTTATTTAATCCTTATGGCCACCGCTTGCTAACTGTTGGAATAACAATTGTGACCAGACACGGTAAGTGAGTTGCAAACTAGAAGTGCAAATCGGCAGCTGAGGCAGAGTATAATGGA